GGGTGGGCAAAGAGGTGAGCAGTGAGCCAGCAGGGGTTCTAGGGGCGGGCATGGGGGTTTCTGGCAGGAGAGTTAACCTGCATTTACAAAACACTCCGAATAAAAAAACACTCTGTGCTCTTAAAACATATCTTTCCTTGCTTTAAGTTTTGAAAATTCAGTCACTAGTTCTTTTAGATCCAGTTTTCCAGCTATTTCATGCTCTATTGACATTGTGACAAGTCCAAGAAGTCTCTTGTGCCATTGTTGAACGCAGATATGTTTTTATCAATTTTAACTTTGAGAAGCTACAATGCAGGCAGACCGATTAAACAATTTGGCAATCATGTCAATTGAATGCGAAGTAATGAAGAGCTTAGAGTTAGGCAATACACTGAAAGATTTTGTCAAACAAAAAGCAAGAAAGATAAAGTTTTAAAAACATATAGGTGAGGTGTACAATATAGTTCCTCTTAATGAACTTGATATTTATAATATATGATGCAATGTATGTAATATATAATTTTGTTATTATTTATATAGTCATGGAAAGTAAATAATACATGGAAGAAATTAAAGGTTTTTTTTAAAGTCATCCCTGCCGGGGCCCCGCCGAAACTGTTCGAATTGGGCCCCACACTTCCTAAAGCCGGCCCTGATTCTAGTCCTAGAACAGCCCAGGAACAGGAGGGCATAAAGGCGGCTTAAAGTCATCTCAGCCCCCACTCCACTGGGCTGTGAATTCTGTGCCACAGTTCTTAAAGACACAGCACAGAATCTCATCCCTATAGTCTAAAAGAAATCTAAAAAAGTGGCAGCCTGACTGGCTATAAATCCTCAATTAAAGGCTTTTCCTTATACCAGTTAAATCTACAAATTCAGCCTGGTTAAATGGACTCAGCACTGAAAACCAATTGTTACCAGTTTTAGCCAAAGTTCAAATCACAGCTGCAAAGGCAAATAAAGCCTCTACATTTTAACCCTGATACCGTGGCTAACCCTTCCCCACACGTCTGCCAATAGGTGGTACAAAACAGATTGATACACCTGATAAACACAGATTTTAATAACCAAATGTTTCAAACCATGACATTAGAGTTTCTCAAGTTTAGAAGTACAGCACATTAAACTGAGAACACCCTTTAATCAGTGTTTTCCATAAGACAATCCTAGGGAACTTTCCCAGGTGAATCTGACAGGTGTTTATACACACATGCACAGCCTCTTTCATACCCTTCAACAAATTGGATGGACCCTCCCCTCGACAAAAGAAAAGGAGAAAAGTGGATACTTATAATAAAGATTTGCCTCTCTTCAGCTCCTGCTGGTAAGGAACCAGGTGGTTTTCTGCTGGCTGCTTTTTGTCAACAGGCTCAGCGGATCAGAGCAGAAGCCCAGGCAGAGACTGGAATAGCCAACCTCAGGATATCGAGGTTTCTTCTCTGCAAGGTGATCCGTCTTACAGATTCTGGAACCTCAGTCTTTCCTCAAGTGGGTAGCCAACGGCAAAGATCTCTGCTTTTATCCACAATGGATATGAATTTCCCTCGCTCCGCCCTACAGTGCCTATCTTCAAACCATTAGCAAATCAGGTTCATAAGTGATTTGACTTAGTCCAATCGAGTGTCAGTTAGTTCATTTGTAGAAAAAGTTCCAATTCAGCAAACATTAACTCATAAAAGGGTCGCCCCATGACTAAGCAACTTTAAATACACGAAACATTAGCAGGTCACTCTGACTGCTGATCCTGGAGTCCTCCAAAAAATATATTGCCATTCAGACAAGAGACCCTGCTTTTGGGGCAGCTGGCAAGAGTCCACTGGAGATATCATCTCACTAGCTTTTATGGAAAGTCCAATACAAAAATCCAATCATTAAAAATTAACCTCAAAAAAAAAAAAAAAAAAAAGAACTAAAACCAGTCACTCAATGCATCCAACCATTAGCAAAACAAAAATGGGTCCAAACATATGACACACACCACTACTACCACTTTCTCCTTGTTATTCTCAAAGCAGGCCTATGTTCTTACTCTTTTTTTGCAGACAAAGCAATTTCAGCAACTTTTCTGTTTTAGAACTCAGTTCTGTTTTCACAAATTTTATTTTTAACCTATATCTTTCGGTCATAATTTACTTTAAAGACCATCATAAGAAAAAAACAACCCTATTTATCTTTAAACACATTTTTGTTTCCTGGGGCCCATGAGTAAAGTTTTCTAAAGCACCAAAATGGAGCTAAGTAAATTTCAATGAGACTTAGGTTCTTGAGGCTTGGATCCTCAAAGGTATTAGTGCCTAACTCCCATTGATTTCATGGAAGTTAGGTACCTAAATAACTGAGAATTTGAGGGTTTATTCCTTTTGAAAATGGGGCTTAGGCTTATAAAGTCATTTAGGCTCTTTGGAAATTTTGACCATATATACCTATATAGACTCGTTATTTCTAACAATAGTCTCAGATTATCCACCTAGTACTGCCACTCTCCTTTAGCAGTCAACAAGTTGTTAAATATTAATAAGCTTTGGCAATTCACCGCATTGTAGTGAATTGTGTGGCGTGAGAGGGCCTCCGAACAGACTTCATTATCTTGGGCTTTACTGAAGGGCCCAATCACTCTTCCCTGTCACAATAACCACACCCACCAAGCTTAAAGTCTATCCAGGATTTAACAAGGTGAAAGAATCAGCACAAAGCACCAGGCCTACCTACAAACAAGCCAAGACAGAGTCTTAGGGAATGGTGACTTTGCAGTTAAACACTTTGCACCGATTTCAGATACTAAAAGGCACAAGTGTGGGGTTTGTGGTAGGCCAATGGAGAACATACACAAGGTGTACATTACTTTGGCCCACTTTAAAAAAAAAAAAAAAAAGAACCCCACCACAATCCCAGACGTTCAGCACCCATGCAGGTTGCACAAGTGCATTAACTGATTTCACAAATAACCAGCAATACTCATCCACCCACTGTGTCAAAGATTAGAAGCAAGCTCCTTACATGCAGTAAAGAGGTGTGACCAAGTGGGGGATTTTCTTGTTTTTTCTTGTTTTCGGTGGGGTTTCAATGGTTTGCATGCGGAGGGGGTGGGACTCAGTTTTCCTGGGTGTTACCGGTTTAACAAGGTGAGGGGAGAGGGAGTTTGTTGTTACAGAGGACCGGAGAGGGAACTTGGGACCCCAGCCAATGGCCTGGAGGATGGATACCGCAGCGACCGGTGACCTGAGACCCCGACCCGGAGACCCAGCTCAGGAGTTGCAGCTGGTTCTGGCCAGTGGGAGAACAATGGGCTACAGAGTGAGGACCCAGTGACCTAGCCAGCCGGTTCCCGCCAGAGGACAGAAGCGAGGAGAGGAGGCCCCAGTTTACGACCCTGTTTACCTGGAGAGAAGACAATGGATAGAGGCAGGGCTTGGGGTCAGGGATCTCAGATGCCGAGCTGGGAAGCAGGGGAGCTCTGGGCTGGAGAGGGAGAGCAGGCAGACCCCACCTGAATGCAGAGAGACTGGGATGTGCTGGGCTGAGGGAGGCCAGGCCTGAGGCCCTGAGAGTTTCCTGTGCTGTGTTCAACTCTCAATAAACCCTCCTGTTTTACTCTGGCTGAGTGTCACTCCGGTCTAGAGAACAGGGTTGCATCAACCCCTTCGGGGGTGGAGGCCCGGGGGGTCCAGAGAGAGTGGACTCCCTGAGGGGGCCCACGGCGAGAGACAGACATGCTAAGGCTCAGAGAGGTGCGTGGCTCCAGGAGGTGGTGAGGCATGACCCTGAGAGAGAGTGGACCCCCGAGAAGGGCTGTTGCACTGAAAGGGGCACCTCCCCACGGACCGCACGGGGCCAAGAGTGGGCACGATCTGTGAGTCCATGACAAGGGGATAAACCTATATGACACCATGAATTCCCATTCACTGTTTGTCTGTACCTGCTTTAGACACCCTAAATCCCAGCAAGAACATTACACCTTTCACTTCAGGTTCTGTCTTTCCCATACAGCCCCTATGCATTTAAGGTTATTAACAGAGCCACCTTAAAAACAGCTCCCCATAATCAATTATTGCATGATCAGGATTAGAGGAAAAGCCAGATGGTATTGTTATCTGTGGCAATGGGCACTCTGAACACAAATAAAAGAGCAGGAACTGACTCTCCCACTCTGATATACACCTGATCTGTAAATACAAAATGTCAGCCCTCACAGCTGCACTAATATGTCTTAAAGAGTTATTGTACAAGTAGAACCTAAGGAAACAAGACTCATTTCACTTGGTGATTTTTTAAAATCCAGTCAGCATGAAAAAACATCATTGGCCAAACTTTGTCCTGACTTCATACAAATCATATGTTTAATATAGCTCACAATCCTAGAGATCATTTGCTGTGTCAATTTCTTTTAAAAACACTTCAGCTCACCTATGAGCTGATTCCTTAAGAGTGTCTGTAACTCTGTGTCCAGATTATTATGTCCACTTTAGACTGGGAATAAAACCACTCAATCACTGCACTCCATGTCTGCAATTCACAGATGCATTTGAAGCCCTTGGTTTTGCCTGAGGTTCACAGAACACGGAGTATGACATGCTGCCTTATACTGCTTTATTGTTAAACTAAAGGAGCTCTCTTTAAACATATATAATAATTAGAATTCTCTACTGAATAGCTCTATAGATATTTCTGTAAGATTGCACAACAGATATACAATTAGCAACATTACGTTTAATGGCTATTAAGGCTGGACATACCCCATCCACCAAAAATCTTACAAGAACGGAAATAAGAAGCGGAAAGACTTGTACATTCCTTTCCACCTACATATTTGCCTGCAGTGCTATTGATAACATATTCCAACACTCCATAAGGTTTTTGCTTCCATCTCCAACACATACCCAAAAGCAACGTGTATCCTGATTGCATCTAAATCACACTGTAAAGCAAAGTTTTAAGTGACCAAGTTTGCTTTTATGTCAATTGTATCAACAGATCAGCACATTTGACTGTCCCACATTCCAGGCATTTGGGAAGTTATTCTGCCTTAACATAGCTGAGCTGATTTAAGGTTTCATGTCAGAGTGCAGCTTTGTTTAATTCCTTTGTCAGTTAATATTGTTTCTCCCTGAATTCTTTATTTATTGTAAATTTTGAGTCAGACTCTAGTTTGGTTTTGCTGCCAATCTCAGTTCATTTGGCCGTACTGCTGTGTGTGTTAGACCAAGGTCTGTTTTGTTCATATTCTCTCTGAAACGGCTTAGAAGCTTTCAGATGTGCATGACTGAAATGAAAATGTTTATTCCTGAGCACAATATATTCACTGTGCAATAATTTAGTGGTGGTTTTGTGTTGTGGGCAGATGCCCAGAGTTAAAAAACTAGAAAAATTATTCAGAGAAACAATATCTTACCCTATTACCTCTCTTCCTTACCAGGTCTACGCAGTTGTTTGACACTCTAAAAATAATACCAACAATACTTAACATTTTTGAAGCACCCGTCAATGAAAGAACCTGAAGGACTTTATAAATACTAGACTGTACAGGTTATAGTCTGGAGGTGACATCAGGGGACTGGACAATATCAGACATTATGGGATCTACTCCTGGCTCTGTCAATGATTTGATAAGTGATCTTGGTTATGTCACTTAAGGATTGATATTTTGAGCAACCACAGGTCCCACTGAAGCCTATCTGCATGTCATATCCCCCATTGGTAATATGGGGATAATAATGTTTTCCTACCTTCATAAAGCACTTTCAGATCCATGGGGGAAAATGTGCGATATAAGTGCCAAGTATTAATAATGAAATTATTTGCAGGACAAATTCCTGACACTGCATCATGAAATTGGAATTGCTAAACTGTCATGACAATGCATTATAGGACAATGATACTGCATTCTCAGTTCCTTCAGCACTGTTATCATAAGCTGACAGGATATCACAGTACAGAAATGCGAAGTCATCATGTGTCAGTGCTGCACTACAACCTAACATCATGATGTTGCAAGGTCAAAATTCAATAGTCTACCTGCCCTACAGTGTAGACTCACAGTATGGAGGACAAGGCCAGTGAGACCCTGAGAAAACTGAGAACCTCCCATGAATTTTGGAAAGGTGAGCAACTCTACAGTACTAAGAAGCCCATTAAAATCTATAATGTCTGGACATATACAAAACTAAATTGTAAGACTATGGGTATCTTATAGCCCAGACTATTTCAGGAGATTGGTGATTGACAGGATAGACCAGTAGTTTTCAATCTGAGGGTCATGACCTCCAAGGGTCACCAATAGGTTTCAGGGGGCTTTACCAGATCTATTTTTTTTAAATTACGTTTCTAGCCCTTTGGGTCATGGAGAAAACTTCAAAACCATAAGCCAAGAGTCAACTGCTTTAGAATGGGAATGATGCCCTGGCTAAAATCCACAGACAGCCAGAAACAATAGCTGTAAGAGGTATGACTGCTCCATTAGTTCCAGCCAAAGCCCAGTGGACTCTAATTCTGTGGCATGGAATGTGTCATTTTTCCAACAAGCCACAGAATTCTCCAATTGGTTGCAGCCAGGAGCCTGGCATTTTGCTTCTTCTCCCTGTCCTAATGGGATCTGTTTGCAGATGCCTTACTCTCCAGCTCTCCCCTCAAAGGGAAAGGAATTGGATTACAGTTTATGTGCCCCTGCCCTGTTCCAGGCAGCAGGGCAGTTGGGACCACCCTCCCTTCAGTGCCGGATGAAGGGATAAGCTAACTAAACTACAGCTTAGGGCAGTGCTCTTCACTATTTTTGAAGAGGGGACCACTTTGGCAAAAAAACCTTCAATGTGAGAGGCACATCAACCCGAAACAGATGGTTGAACCCTCTGAGTTCTTTGTTGGTTGATATGGTAATATTACCGTTATTGGTAATATTGCTTAGGGTGCAGGACGGGGCATGGGGGGCTGGCTCTGGAATGGGGCTCAGGGCTGGGGCCTGGGCTTGGAGCGCAGGAGGGGGTGAGGGGTGCTGGCTCTGGGAGGGGGCTCAGGGCTGGGGTAGGGGCTTGGGGTGCAGGAGAGGGTATTGGGGGCTGGCTCTGTATCCTGGAATGGAGACAAGATTTCGGTCTCGAACAGCTGAACCAAGAGAGAGCTCCCCCTCCTCAGCCCTAAACCCCATGGTGGAAGTATTTAGGCCCATTACTGGCACCCCTGTGCCGCCGATGGGACCCCCCCCCCCGTGATGACACACTCAGGTTATTGGACAGTGGAGACATACAGGTGAGGGTGCCCTGGGCACCTTGGGCCTTCCACTGTTAGAACCAGAGGTGCAGGGGCCTATGCCAGTA